CAGATGAAGGCCGTATGCCGATACGGGTCGCAGCCCGGCCTCCCAGTTCCAAGGGTTCGCCAGCTCGCGTGCCACGAAGCCAAACCAGTCAGCTATCTGGGCACTCAGACTCGCAAGATGCGGCGGGGTGACAGGGTGAAAGTCACATCTTTGTGGTGAAGAAGATGTTACAGATGAAGCGTCAGAAGATGGAGAACACATCCCTTGCGCAGCGCGCTCGTAATAGCCCAACCAGGCAAGCACAAGGCTTGCTACGGTCAGGAGGATACTCGGCGCCAGGAGCCTTACCGGACGTGTCAGGGCAGCGCCGGAAAGATACACCAGCAGCTTATCCCATTGCCGCCAGCGGGCATGGCGCAGAGGGCCCACGCTGAGAACGTAGCCTGAGATGGCAAAGAAGATGGACACCATGGCTGGACCCGAATGCCGAATCAGTCGTATGACTGGGAGGGAGATCAACGACGAGTTTTGTGGTCCGTAGCCATTCAGTAGCGGCTTGCCCTCGAGCGCCATGGAGTAGTGATAGGTGTAGACGAGAATGGCGGCGATGCCACGCAGGCCATCCAGGTATGAGGTGGCTATGCGTGAATTGCCAGACCGCAGTTGGGCCGGCTGTGTAGCCCGCGACGCGCCCGGAGGCATTTCCATAGAAATTTCGGGCTCATACATGAGCGTTGCTAGCAAAAATTTCCTAGAAGTTTGAGAAAAGTGCTATGAAAGGTGTATGGTGAGGAGGTGCTCAAGATGCTGATCACATTCGCCGGGAGGCTTGTCAGCAGGTTTAGATTCAACTAAACTTTTGACACTGTTTTAATCATGACGAAACATCCTTCGATGGAGCAGCCTTTCAGCTCCACGCAGGTTTTCGCCGGAATCATTGCTATCGCGGCTATCTAAGGGGGCGCCGCGATCATGGATCAATGAGACATCTAATGCCGACAGAAAAGCAGAGACTAGCCTACGTAGAAAGCAACCCTGAACAGCCTTCTTCTGCTCACCGAATCATGTCAAAGTCGCCATGGCCAACGCCTGACCTGGGAGAGCTCGGACAACCGGACAATATCTCCGACCTGCCCAACACATCACTTGTATCCCCGGTCGCCACAAATCGCCCACGGCGGCTAAAAGGCATCTTGCATTCTGTCATCCCATGGTCTTTGAGTATGTTCCAGCGTTTTGCTCGTTGCTCATCGTGTACAATATGTCAGGAGGCATAGTAGGTTCGAGTAGTGTGCAAGAGACATGGGAAGCACGTGTGCGGGGCTTTTACTTTCTGACGCGCGGTACTACGGGGAGATAGATGAGAAATCAACGCCAGTACCTCGGCCTTAATGTTAGCAAGAGGGATTAATGCGTTCATGGGCCCTGGTTAGACGTTCAAGCTTCTGAAGTTGAGGTTGAGGTTGAGGTTGACTCTAATGCAGGTACGAGTAAGAAAGTGCCTGCTGATAGAGTCGTGCAGCACTCGCGCTTATTCTCGCCAACTAGTTTGAGCTAGCTGTAGGTATGTATACATCAAGGAGTGATGAATCCCCGAAAACAGCTCCATTGTGAACTGAAGGCTAGAATAAGATTAATATCGGTTGATTTTGAACTTCAACGAAGTACTAGTACATACCAGAATGTCCCCGGGAGCTTGGATGCGTAATGGAAAGCTAATGCCATCGCCATTGCCAACCTTGCCCTTGCTCGGAATTATTCCCCGCAGGTTTGACGCGTTTCTCCGCACGTTCGACATAGGGCCCCTGCAAGATGATGACTAGGTAGTTGAGCATGCCTCCCCTTATCTTGCTGCCTCATATGGGAGTGGGTGAAGGGTGATACGGAATACCCACTAGAAGCTGCGGTTGTTTTTGCAAACTGGAATGATTCAGAGTATCACTTCGCTTTCTGATTCACATTTCTTCTGCGAAACCAGTAGCCAAAATGTCACTAAGCAACAAGAACGAGCGAGACGGCGATCAATTCGACGAGGCTTCTTCTGACCGACTATCAGACGTTGACATGGCCAGCGAATCTTTGTTGCCGCACATGTTCCAAGGACACAAGAAAGGACGTCAACCATGGCAAAAGCAAAAACGCTTTTGCATGCCGTTCTTGTGGCTTCTTGCTGGCGCGGCCTTGGGTGCGCTAGTGCCATGGCTCATTGGACTGCATCAGTCTCGAAGAGGTCAAGATCATGGATTTCATTTCGTGCCGCAGACCGATCCGATTGGGTTCTTCCCGCCCATCTCCCACAAGATTCAGTATTTTGAGAAGACATCGGAATACATTTCCAATCACTCGTCGCCGGAATCACTCCAAAAGGTCAAGAAGCTATGGGAGAAACTTATACCACGTCAGTATTGGTGCCTGCCGCTATGTTCAGTTAACGTTCCATGGATCTGTCCCAAAGTTGACATCGGGTCGCACAAAAACAGCCGGAGAAGGATTCCTCTACATCTCAGATGAAGAAGCGACCAAATATGACTTTCCTACGCTCATCAATTATAAGGTGCCACCTGAGCACGGTGTGCCTGGAAAGCCACTGCGCGGGAAAGCCTTAGGAACTACGGTGGCGCATTCTTTGCATTGCCTAGTAAGAATATTTTCCAAGTTACCGCCTTCGTTGGGTTATATGATTCGATGTTTGAGGAAGAATTCACCTTTACTAATGCCCACAGTATCTTATCATGGCTGAGTACGACCGCCTCTATCAGGGCCTTTCGCCCGGTGACGACTTTACACACGTGGACCATTGCATCGACTGGATTCGACAGTCTCTCATGTGTGCTGGCGATGTGGCACTCTCTGGGAACATGGGACCGGTGACCGGCCATTGGTACCAGTTCCCCCATGTCTGTAAGAATTGGGACGAGGTATACGACTTCATGGAACGCCGTCATGTCGATAACAGACATAAGCTAAATCATGCCGTACCCGAGCATCGGCCTGTGAGTGAAGCATGACAGGCAGTACTTGTCACGGGTCTCGTAGATAGTGGCGAGGAGAGTCTCTACTGACTAGTTGGCAAGACTTTGCCTCACCTCTAGGCGTGTTTGATTGATTAGAACATGTCAAAACGTTACACATATCTGCCTCTTGTCTACTTTACAAATGCATTGTGAACGATGAACCCAAAAACCTGAGGTAGAGAAGAAACACATGTATCAGTCGTCGCCTACTGCTTAGCTACCGTAACCACCGATCCCATGTCCATGTGTACCATGGCCCTGCGTTACAAAGCGCGGGCGCGATTTCACAGCATGCGTCTTCATCCATTCACTAACAGCATTCTATTTGAGAAGACTTCAGTATTAGCGCGCTCACATCTTGGTTGAAATCCGACGACTGGGAGTCACGTACCATGTCTCTGCACTGATGTGCAGCTCCGTAACCATTGATCTTCGGCGGTTCATCCATTACCTCTGGTGCGCGCCCTTCGAACGTCACGTCACCTGCGCACAGGATAGCTTGTTGCAGGTAGTCAAAACAGTGCTGCAAGTGATCCAGATAATGACCTTTAGGGTCTGTCTTGCTTTTTGTAAGAGAAGCAGATGGGGAAGGATCCAGAAACTCGTTTCGCTGCCTGAAGACGTCCCAGAATCCCTGTCTGATCATCCCCTGCGTAACCTCATGAGCGTTCTCATTCAGCGCGACTACAATAGGTGTGACGACGGCGTTGAATACGTTTATCAGGACACAACTTACCAAGCAATGCAGCTGATGCGTCCAACTTACACCATAAAGCTCAGTGGCCGGATTGGTGGTTGGTAGTCCGTCCCCAATATACATGGTTTGCGCCTCGCTCTTATTGAGCTCAACGAGGCTGTGGCCCATTGACAGTGCATGCCAAGCTTCATTGCTTTCTGGACTGGGCTCGGCTTTAAACGCCGGCATCTCTGTGAATCTGACGAGCTTCAAAGGAACTGCAATGACGCATTAACATCTGCTCCATAATACCTACATAGGGTTTCTTACAATTTTCTGTGATTCCTTGATGTTTCGCCTGATGGGTAAATGTGCACCACCGTTGGAGAGGTTCCATGCTAACTGTCACCGCGCCTCCCCACCAAGTTAAAGTGCTGAGCCCTACAAGGCTGCTGCACAGTAACGCGAGTGCATACACTCTCCAGGCCCTACTAGGTCTTCCTAACTGCAATGGTGACAACCGCGTCTGCCGCTGTGCGCAACCCATTTTTTGATACGATCTGGAAATACTGTGAAGGACGCTTGTGGGTAAAGCTTCGGCAGCAGGAGAGGGCTCCAGGAAATGCGGCGAATCAGTTGTTCGAGCTGCGGGATATCAGCAGTACCCGATTTTCATGGGTTTAGACCTATCGTGGCGAAAGCCCTTGAGTTCCTCTGATCGAAGTGAGAGCACGTGTGCGCCTGCACGAAGGATGAGGGTGCTAACTAGTGCGTTTCGTACGCCGTCTAAACTCTACCCCAACATGCAACATGCCGCCTCTACTGCATATTACAGTCAACTGAAGTTTGACTAACGAAACCTTGCCCTATGATACTAACTTCATTTGTCGATTCCGGATTATATCCAATGACTAAAGTCGGATAACACCCGCGAGATGTTGCCGGCTTGAGTTCTCTGCGGAAACAGTACCCAGTCTCGGAGATAGTACATTGGCAACATTTGAACCTTGCTGATCTATCCACATGCAATCCATCGATCACGATACTTTCCACATATCCTCCGAAGTCTCTTTGTGAATAAATCTGTCGAAACTCGAAACAGGCGTTCGCATTGCATTGCCACCATTCCTCAACTCCACCGGGCAGAGCGATTGAATCGCATTCAATTCCTGCTGGGTGCACAAGGATGACCTCATTGCGCCGGAGTAAAAGGAGGATATTCCAATGAACCAGCATATAAGCGTACTTAAATGATAAGTTCTCTCGCCTTGCGGCCACATCTAATATTTACATTGCACCGTCATCTGAGAAATCGAGATATCTCATTCAAGCCAATACTTTTAGCCCTCCGCCCGAACCTCAACATCAAAATGCTTGCTCGTGGTGTACTGGCATCTCTTGTCTTCCTGGGCTTCACCTTGGCCAGTCCTACGCCCAACAGTAACTAATTTCTTCCCTTTCGTTCACGGCTATGTGGGTGTTCTGACAATACCCAACAGCAGCAGATGGCGTTACTTGGTCTGTCAGTGGCCCTAAGGAAGCTGTGAAAGCTCTTGGAGATCCTGGAGAGGCCTTGCAGGCTCTCGGCAAGGCTATGCAGGCAAAGCCTGGAACCACGGCTGATCAGCCTGCTGTTCGGGTTCGCGAGGAGGCTGAGGAGCCTGTAACTGAGGCTGATCAGCCCGCTATTGAGGTTCGCGAGACGGCTGATGATCTCTTGATGTACTACAACGCTTGATAGTACTCCATGAATTACTCTAGAAACTCGAGATTGGGATGGCACTCGAAGATTGATGAAAGGAAGGAAGACATTCCGGTCATTCTGTTGTTTCAAGAGCTCAATTAGTTGCGAGATCAATGGTCAGTGAACTGCAAAGAACGTGAATGACACCATGAGTTACTGACGAACTACTGTTGTGACTCTTTGCGTCTGTTTCCTTCCTGTGATACTGCGTGAAATGGCAACGTCGTACAACAATCTGTAGTTCTTCAACGCCAAGCATTGGTCATGCCCATGCGGTCTGAGTTGTTACGAAATCCTCGTCATATCCAGTCCTGCTACAGGCTCCAATGACGATTACACGCAACTGGACTTAGAACCAATCGGGTCTGGAACACACTCTCAGTACAAAACTATCGCTGTTCACTTGCTGTTGGTATTATTAGCATAGATCACCTTGTTCATCTAGCTCTGCGCCTATGAAGTCAAGTTCAGCGTCCATGTCTGTTCTACAGACGGCGAGTTAATCCTTGGCATGGGGGAACTTTAGCCCCAAGCTCACAAACATGAACCATGTTCTTCCATAAAAGTCAGTTTTCATCTGGTATTTCCAATAGCTTGGTAAAGGTACATGGGGTTCTTCACGACAAACCCAGCGGAGCTCCGCTGCCATTTCTTTGAGCAGCGCCTCTTTACACATAAGTTACCCCTCTTTCGCACCCCGCCTTCTACGACCCCTAGAATGCCTCAACACCGACACTACTAACTTTTGATCTACGCGATGTGCATAAAGTTTGACTCGACTACTATGTAAATTCCGCAATCTAACAAAATAAAGTTCCCGATGTGAACATGCCGCCCCATCACAACTTCTGGGGCCGCATAGCCGCCTGGCCCGGCGAATTACTGCGCAACCATAACTTTCTACGGTGAAATTTAGGGCCGCTAAGCCAGACATAGCAAACGTCTAGGTCAGCATTGGCAAATATGTAGGCATTTATCATCACAGTAAGCGGGGCAAATGCGAGTCTCGCAGCTGAACTGACTCTAGTAAGCTTGCCTGGGAACCAGGATGCATGACCCGAAGATTTTAGTCTCCATGAGTAGGTTTCACCCTCCTTGTCTTATTGCTGGATGCTGATTATGTGTTTGGCTTCCAATGACTGATTGACTCACGGCCACCCGGAATGTCTCTGCTGGACATACACTTGCTGAAAGCCCCCCTGCGCTTCCGTACCGTCTTGATTAGTCCGAAACATAGGCGTTTCCCTTGTCAATCTACGGTGTCAAGCAACAACGAGACCAGCAACAAGAAGATGTTTCCTCTGCCAGCCTTGAAAATGTTCAACAGCAGCCACAGAAAGAATGAAAACAATGACAACGGACACGGCCTCCCGTTCTCTCCCATTGACGAGGAACAAGCGGCATCGTCATATTCGACAACGAGCTCGTTGTTAGCGGAGCACGCCACCGAAAAGTTGAAACTAACGAATCGGCGTCACAGATGGCAGCAGTGGAACTTGTTTCGATGGCTTCATTTTGGCACAAAAGACGTGGTTTACATCGGTTTAATCGCAGCCGTCGTCATACTCTTCGCCTCAGCAGAAGACCGCTATATCAGTAGTCGTTGCGGCGGTCTCACCTACAGTTCGTGTCTCCCCGCGCGTCAGCAAGTGGTCCATAAAGCTAACCTGCGTGTAACATCATTTAAGCCCCCGCGAAAGAGGCTGTGGTATTGGAAAAAGCCAAGTTTCACGCAGGGCTGAACGACACGACCCGGTTCAGAGGTGACCCAAGACCCGAACTCGAAGACGCCTGGGATGAATTGCTGAGCGGTAAGAATACTCATTATTCAGCGGAAATAACGAAGGGACATCAGTGCTGATTTGACGTCCGGCAGCGATAAATATTCGCGTCGACGATGACGAACTTACCAAGATGGGTAGGGATGCAAGTACAGCCGTGAAGATCAATGACGGCAAGGGAGGCTACGCCGGCATGCTCGACATTTTCCATCACCTGCACTGCTTGGTAAGAACATTCCGTCTTTCAAATCTTCCTTCATTTTAAATGGCTGACCCTGACATGCCCTCGCAGAGAATGATACGGATCGGCTACACGCTGGACCTCTACCCGGCGTACCAGCCCATGCTGTCATCGCAGATGGGCGAGCTAGTGCCCATGCACATTGACCACTGCATCGATGAGCTACGCCAGGCTGTCATGTGTCGTGCCGACGTGACGGTCCTCACCTCGGACTGGATTGATTGGCACCCAAAGCCGTGGCTAAATTTCAATGTCGAGCACGAGTGTGTCAACTGGGACAACGTTTTCCAGTGGTCAAAGGAGCACTGGTATGACATCAAAAAGGCAAACTTAGTTCATCCCCATTTTGGTAGGTTCTCGAACCCTATGGCTCCCACATGTTCCTCAAAGTCAATTTAAAACTTGACGTTTGCTGACGTTCGCAATGCTATAGGTCCTGTTGACTGGTCTACAAGTCCCGGCCCGCACCACTAAACCGGAGGAAAGCTGTTTGCGTGAGACGGAGTCGTCAGATATCGCAGTATTCTTCTTGTAGATCACAAGACTAGTTTACCTTGAGTATTCATAGCAATGCACTGTGAGAGATTCAACTTGACTATTCCAAAATAATGTCCCCAGCCAATTAGAATGCTGTGCCACCTTTTAACTTCGAGCCGAATGCCAGGCTGGGGAATGCGGTAACCCATTAGACAGGCGGCCCATGTTGTCATGGAATCCGAAAGAATTGAGGAGCATGCCTACAAGCTTATTCCGAGGCCTCGGTGCTTCCTTGCGACAGGTGCAAGCAGAAGAGTTGCAAACATACCTAGTAATGAGCTCGCATCAGTTGTATCACTAAACACTGATGTTTACGCGTTCTTTGTTTCTTCTCACCGTTCCACTAGAGGGGACATCCCATTCACTGCGGAGGTCGGGATATACTTTAGCTCTACACGGTCCGATGTCCGATCGGACGTTTTTTCCTTCACTCGACCCCAGCATCCATGTACGTAGTACTAGACCCGAATACCCGGACGGCTCGTTCCATCGCTTGCTAAGACCGAGACCGAAGAGCCCAATGGGACGTCATTTTTGCTATAATACAGACTCGACACTAATGCAGGTTGGTTGATAGTTCAAAGTATGACCGGCACGACGATTACACTTCCGTAACGGCAACTTCCATTCAGATCTTCTACCAACAGAAGCGAATCATCCACAGTTTACAAAGGCAAGGTGCAAAATGCGACTCAAACAATGGTTCGAGAGAAGGCAAGAAACCCCTCGCACCGGCTATCAGCCTTGATGCACTCCTCGACCACTGAGGTATTGGGAAGTTGTATCTGTACTTCAACTAGCTTGATCAGATGATTTGTCAGCACATCTACTTCTTTCCAGTTCTTTTCCCCTTGTGATATGTATCAACCCTGCCGTGACCCATCCCCGCAAGTCCTCTCACCCCAAACAACCTACAGAAGCTCTGCTCATCTCCATTTTACCAAACACCTGTACACCTGTTGCCTTCGCCCAACCCTTCTCTACTACGATGAGTCAGATAGCTAAGATGGCAGGCGTCGTGAGAGACATGCAAGCCGCGACCACAGGAAAGACACGATATGATAGGGTCCCCTCGCAGCAGATGCCGCTTTATGATGATCCTCATCCGTCAGCTGAAGATTCGCGACTCGAAAACAACGAATGCGCAGAGAAAGATAATGATGGCGATGATAGAGATTATGATAGCCGGCTTCGGCGAAAGAGAAGATGGCCTGGCCCTCTGAGACTTGTGGGCATCATGACGGTTGCCATTCTCGCCGCTATCGGAGTGGCAGACCTCTTCGGCCGCGCTTCCCATGCGGTCCAGCAGCAACGGACAGCCAACGACCCAGTCCAGACCGTACACGACTGCTTCCGCTCCTGTGGCTACACGGCTGCAGATGCCATTGAGCGCGGTTGTCTGTTTGAGGAGTTTGATATGCGGTGGGAGCACCCCTCATGTATCGACCACGAGCTCGCCGCTGAGTACCGCCGTATGGGACCCGAGCCGGACGGGTCGTGGACATACATGGTCGACGATGAAACTGCCACCGATGGTGTCCCCATCAACGAGCTTCGCAGACGTCCCGTAAACGCGACGGAACTCAGCATGCTTGTCTGGCCCGGGAAGGTCGTCTACGCCAATATGCGCCACCACTTGACGCACTGCATCTTCCGTTGGCGCAAACAGTTCCGCGCGCCCTTCAAGGGCACAAGATGGCCGAGCCAGCCTGGGTGGGAGGAGAACCACATCAAGCATTGCATGGATGTGATCCTCAATAAGAGGGATGTGCCGCTGGAGAAGTTTATAACTAGGGTTGTTTTCGAGTCGCCATAGGCTATGCATATTTTCGTGATGAGGCTAGTTTCTTGGAGTTCCAATTGGGTCTAGTCACAAACAAGGCCATCACTCTTCATTATACTGCTTCAATCATTGCTACTGATGCTGTTCGATATTACGGTTCATAAACACCTTTGATATCCCAAGAGGCTGTGCCGTCCGTGAACTAGAAGTTTGACTTTACATATCCCTAGGTAGCGTAGCACCGTCAGGAAGACCTTTGTTCTCAAATTGACCGTCGTGATCCTGCCCAGGGTTTGCCTCCTCATAATGAATGAACTTGACAAAGCGATAATACAATGCTCCAAGAACACCGCCCATGGCAGGTCCAACCCAATAGATCCAGTGATAGCCTGGGAAGCTTCTGCCGGCTACAGCCGAGCCAAGACTACGAGCTGGGTTGATAGAAGCCCCAGTATAATAGCCACCTATCCAATGTGTTAGCAAGATGTGCTTCAATTAGAAATAAGGCCCTCAACGGCGATGCACTCACCGCATATCATGATTCCAAAAACTGCTATTCCGATTGCAATCGGAGCCAGATATGTCGCCTTCTGCTTTTCTGCGGCCAACATGAGTACCACAAACATCAGTTGAGATGCTAGAAACATCTCAATGAAGACGCCTTGTGATATCGACACGTTTGTGGCAAGGATAGTGTTCGTTTCGCCCACATCCCAGGGAAACATGCACTGCACCAGCCCACCAGCTGCCAGAGCGGCTAGAACCTGTGCGGGGAACAAAAAGATCGCTCGGTCCCAAGGAAGTTGACCAGCAGCCACAAGTCCAAGTGTGATCTGTGGGCATCTTCAATTAGCTCGTTGTTTTATATGCAACAAGGTTCGATGAATGTCTTACCGCGGGGTTGAAGAGGCCGCCACTGATGCGGTAGAATGCCCAGATATTCGCAAGCAGTGGAAACGCATATGCTAGAGCGGTTGAAGTGAGAGTCGTGTTAAGCATTCCACCTTCCGGCGCTTCTCCGGGTGCTTGATGCCTTGCCATCAGGTGGCCAGCGTAGCTAGTCCAAAGCCAAAGAAAGGTGCCGACGAATTCACCGCTGGCTGCGACCAGGTGCGCCTCCAAGTTCGAAAGTTCGCCGTGATGGGTTGCCATGATCTGGTCGCCAATTTTCACACTGCCGCGCGAGTTGTGCGAGCGTCTTGATTCTCTTGAGGTCCGGCCTGAGAGGGGCCCTCCAGTTTCTAGATCGTTTTGCGTCATTGCTTCTGAAATGGCGCTGCTTCGGCGAGGATGATGGTTGATGTGTTTGTTACTTGGTCTTCACATTTGAGGGGACGAGTTTGCTCTTTTATCCATTGAATTCGAATAACGTTCGTCATCATGACTATCGGGCAGTTTGGTGGATGGCCCACAACTCCAGAGGGGCAAGTGTGATGTAAATCAGAAATGGGTCATCGACTGCGTCGAACGGGATGTGCCATTACAAAGACCTTCTCGATTGTTTTTCTCTGAAGATAGGAGAATGGCTTGCAGATCAAGTCAGTGTTGAGGCTCACCGATGAGCCACATTATTTTGGTGAGTGACGCAAGGATATCCGTCCAGTCGGAGCGTTTTCATCAACTGGAAAATCTTGACCTTGCGATAGAGGCACAGTGAACTGTGGGCCTTTAACAGGGGCTTGCCTGGGCACAAGCGCTGATCGAGATCCGGTTGTGGAGCAGTCTGGTCGTGTCAGGAGAAAATGCTACGAGAAAGACAGAACCTCCCGGGGGGAAAGGGGTCTCCAGTTGCTGAATGATAGAGAGGGTCAAACAGCACCCAAATTGGAGATACCTCATAGTGGAGGACATGGGGTCTGACGCCCGTTGGCCACGGCTGACATGTGGCATCACTTGCGTCATGTCTCGCAAAACAAGCGATCTATGCATGTCTTGCTCGGGTCTACCCGTTTGCTACCTGCCTGCCTTGTGGTTCTCGGGCGAAACAAACAAAACATTCTGCTTCAAAGTCACTCGGTCGCCGCCGCCACTTCGGAGATTGTGGTCCGTTCCGCTGGCTGTGGCCCACTGTCGGGGCAAAACCTCCGTCCGAACTGAATGAAGATGGCGGCTGCTGTACCCGTGAGTGTAAAGGCTAGACTTCCGGTCTCTTCTGAACTTTGTTCACATGAATCTTCAAAGGTAACAAACTGTTGTTATATTGAATGTTATCAATCCAATTTGATGATCGGTCATCGACTCGGCCACAGAGACTTTGAGTTTCGCTCTCAATTGGATGAACTATCACAGAGTTCAGACGCATCCTTGAAAATAGGTTACTACGGGATGGGCTTCTTGAGTCGTTGGTTCCAACCTCCATTGTAACCATCTCTTGCTTTTCTTGCTTTTCAGTGGCCGGTTCAATAGTCTTTACCATCCAGGCTGTCACTTACTTGCGGTAGGTCTTGAATGACCATCCCTGCCCCTGGTACCTAGTACCTTGAAGGCAATGCAGCCATTCATACCCTTGTGCCCAACCTAGGGCATCCGCCTCATAACCTCACTTCCGAAGTGTCTCATCAACAACATCAACAGGCAAGATGGCCGAGCGGTCTAAGGCGCTAGCTTCAGGTGCTAGTCAAGTAATTGGCGTGGGTTCGAATCCCACTCTTGTCATCATTTTAGAGCACGTGAGGGCTTCATTTTTGGCGTTTTTGGTGTTTTGTTGCGGCGACTCGTCGTCTCATAGCACTTGGTAAGAGTTGCCACAAGCGGTTGCGTGAAAATTTGCACTGCAACCACGAGAAACACAACACGGCAAATATTAGGGCTTGAAAATGTTTCTGAAACAAAATTGGGTATAAAAAGCGTGTTTGACTATGACAAACTTGCTGCTCCTCATTCGGCGGCCAGAATGGTGCGCTACAACGCAGCAGTGACAGTTTCACGCTCAAGCTTCTCCTTCTCCCTCTTGGCATTCGCAATCTTGATACTTAGCTTAACAGGATTCGTGCCGGGTGTCTCAAAGATGTTGTCAATCTCCTCAAGGTTGAGCTTGCTCGTCTCCGGGAAGAGGTAGTAACTGACAATGACCTGCAGGAAGTTGTACACAATGTACACGGCCCAGATCTTGTATCCAATCTTTCCGACGCCAATTCCGATGCCGTAGCTGTGGATAACAGCAGCGATGGCCTGGAACATGGCGAAGAGACCCATGCCCTTGGCACGGAGCGGCAGAGAGAGCAGCTCGACCGGGTACAGGTTGTGCATCGTGGCGATGAATGAGGCGCTGCAAATCTGGAAACAGTAGATCCAAACGACAGTCAGGATAGCCGTAGACTTCTGGCCGCCGGTCACGTCGAACTGCCAGCTCGTAATGGTGACGGCGATCTGGGCAATGATGATGCTAATCAAGCCGGCGAAAATGAGCGTACGACGCCGGAAGAAGTCAATGATCCAGGCTCCGAAGAGTGTAAAAACAAAGTAGATGGCAGTCAACCCCAGATTGATGCCCAGCTGGTCAAGCTGATCGTTGATGCCGACCGTCTTCAGCGCAGGCGAGAGGTACAGGCCGATGATGCCACCGCCATTCCACTGCTGGAAGACGGCGTATACGGCAAGCACCAGAGTACGGTACCATACGCTGCGCGTGAAGAAGACGCGGAAGTCCCAAGTCGCCCGGAAACCGGCTTTGGAAGTCTCGATAGACTCTTCGATCTGGTTAACCAGGATATCGACGATTTCATGGTTGATGTCGTTATGCGTGGTCATGTACTTCGCAATCATCTCACGGGCCTTCTCTTTCTTGCTCTTCATGATTAGATAACGCGGGGACTCTGGACAGACGGTGTAGAGGCCGATGCAGACAATCAGGGGAAAGACGGCCTGCAGGAAGAAGGCGACACGCCACTGCCAGTCGGCGCCCTCCCAGGAAGTGAGACCCATCATGATGCCGATGATGCCAAGAGAACCGACTTGGAAGAAGGCACCGAACACACCGACAATGCGACCACGAAGATGGACGGGCGCGACCTCGGCGACGTATTGGGGAGCTGTGCACAGCGCAGTACCGAAGCCGAGGACGAGACGGCCGACCATGAGGCAGGCGAGGTTGGGGGCCATGGCTTGCATGATAGCAGCAATCAGAACGAGAGCGTTGCCGACGAAGTTGACGCCACGACGTCCAATGATATCGGCAGTAGCAAGAAACGGGGCACCGACAAAGCTGCCAATTTGCATGAGGGCGTTGATGGTGGAGATGATGGGACCGGCGTCGGGAAATCCGTAGTAATCGTGCCATCGAGGGTTGGAGTTGATACTGCTGATCACACCCCAGTCGATGCCGTAGCTGTTCAGGCCCGATAGTCAGCTTTATCTCTCATCATCATGTCGGTGTCTGTGTTTGATTGTTCCTTACCCAGCCTGGTTCGCGCCCATGATGAGCACATACATCAGGATGCGCAGGCCAGTCTTGGATCGCAGACTCAGAGCTTCGGCAGACTTGCGCATCACATCCTCCTCTGAAATTCGAGTAGCGGTGACATCTTCAACGGCAACCCCAATCTTGTTGGCCTCGGCAACATCATCGTGGTAGACCACGCTGTGGTCCACTTCGTCTCGCGGCGCCATTTTCGGTAAGGCAAGTCAAAGAGAGGGGGTATCTTGACGCGGGGCCGCAGCCTTCACAATCAAGGTTCGGTCGACTTTGGTAGTTGAGTAGCACTGATGAGTAAGAAGCCCGCCTGTCTGGGTCAAGGGATCAGGTTGTAGTGGCGCCCGGCGGATATATAGACTCTCAGAGCCTGCAGTTCAACTCTGGCAAATAGGGTGGCATTCTCGTTTCTGCATGTTCTTTCTGCGTGTCCACGGAATGGCCTTCCGATGGGTGAGTCTCGAACCACGTCGAGGGATGCTCTCCCCAGACTTTTCATTGTCCACATGGTTCACATGAGAAGCTCCCTGCATACCACTAAACTGCCGTTCTCGTCTATCCGCCTCCAGATTCTCCCCAAAGATCCACTCTGGACCGAGCCGGCAGCGGCTTTGATTACACATGATTGGTCCGGCGGCTGTAGGCGACGCATCTCAATCAGACCAGTACCACACCATCCCGGGATGAGGGTGTTCGGGCTGCTTTGACCCGTGATGATTGGCTCCGAGGCGACGGCCGGCCGGTTACCCCACACTCTCCGAGCCAATTTTCCTCAAATGATACGACTTCGAGCTAGGACCCTGGCATGTTCGTGGGTTGTCTGGGGTTAAAATCGTTCATGACCGCTCCAACGCCCATCAACTATGGATGCGGATATCAGACGCTTTGTCTGATCATCAAATCACCAGCTTGACAAACTTTTGTCTCGCATACTGAGGGATCTTTTCCTGGACAAGCCAAGAGCCCAGGCGACCCTAGACCCCTCGCGAACTCGTCAGATCCAGAGACCGGCATAACGGCACGACGTTCCCAGCCAACCACCCAATAATCATGTCCCGTCCAGATGACTCTTCGACATTCGGCTCCGGCCAGAGCCAACAGCAACCCCAACCCCTGCTCCTCCACTACGCGTCCCCCGCATCTGAATGGTCTGAGGCCCTACCAATCGGCAACGGGCGGCTTGGCGCGATGGTCCATGGGCGAACTCAGACCGAGCTTCTCCAACTGAACGAAGACTCGGTCTGGTACGGCGGTCCGCAGGACAGGACCCCAAAAGACGCCCTCCACCACCTGCCGAAGCTCCGACAACTCATCCGAGATGAAAAGCACGCCGAGGCCGAGTCGCTGGTGCGCGAGGCGTTCTTTGCGACGCCTGCGAGCATGCGTCATTATGAACCTCTCGGCACTTGCACCGTCGAGTTCGGCCACGCCGTCGAGGATGTGACTGATTATCGCCGATACCTGTGTCTCGAAACAGCTCAGACGACCGTTGAATATCGATGCCGAGGGGTTTCGTACCGTCGAGATGCCATTGCAAGTTTCCCGGACAATGTACTGGCGTTCAGAGTGGTCGCGTCCGAGGCTACTCGTTTTGTCGTACGACTGAACCGTCTTAGCGAGATTGAGTATGAGACGAACGAGTTCCTTGACAGCATTGACGCGACGGATGGACGTATTGTTCTCAAGGCGACTCCTGGTGGTCATAATAGCAACCGCTTGGCGATAGCGTTGGGTGTGTCTTGCAACGATGCAAAGGGTTCCGTGGAGGCCATTGGCAATGCACTGATAGTCAATTCGATTTCATGCACCATTGTTATTGGTGCTCAAACAACCTTTCGAACTGAGGACCCCGAGACCGCCGCTGTGGACGATGTACTCAAAGCGTTGAGCCACCAATGGAGTGACTTAGTTGAACGCCACCAACAGGACTATGCCGGCCTCTTCAATCGGACAAGTTTGCGGATGTCGCCCGACGCATGTCATCTTCCCACCGATGAACGAATCAACAACAGTCGAGACCCGGGACTAGTTGCGTTATACCACAACTATGGAAGGTATCTACTTATATCATGCAGCCGAAACTTCAAGAAGGCTTTACCAGCAACCTTGCAGGGTATCTGGAACCCATCTTTTGCACCGCCATGGGGCTCGAAATACACCATCAACATCAACCTACAGATGAACTATTGGCCAGCGGGGCCATGTAATCTCGTCGAATGCGCCATTCCCGTTCTCGGGCTTCTAGAAAAAATGGCCGAGAGGGGAAAGAAGACGGCGAGAGTCATGTATGGATGCGAAGGATGGTGTGCTCATCACAACACCGACATATGGGCCGACACAGACCCTCACGATCGGTGGATGCCCTCGACGATCTGGCCTCTAGGTGGTGTTTGGGTATGTATCGACATCTTCGAAATGCTGCAGTACCAGTATGATGAAAACCTTCACAAAAGAGCAGCAGTGGTCTTGGAGGGAGCAATCATGTTTTTGCTCGAATACCTGATACCCTCAGCCTGTGGGAGGTATTTGGTCACCAACCCATCTCTGTCTCCTGAGAACACATTTCTCTCGGTTTCGGGAGAGCCAGGTATCTTATGCGAGGGATCTGTTATAGACATGACCATCATTCGCATCGCATTCGAGAAGTACCTCTGGAGCACTAAGATTCTAGGTGGAGACAATCCGCTGAGGGCTAAAGTGGAAGAGGCCCTTAAAACGCTCCCGCCTCTGGTGATCAATTCAGATGGTTTGATTCAAGAGTGGGGATTGAAGGATTATAAAGAGCAGGAGCCAGGCCATCGCCATGTGTCTCATCTGTTCGGACTCTACCCCGGAGAGAGCATCAGCGCCTCCAGGTCGCCAGACTTGGCTGCAGCGGCAAAGAACGTCCTCGAACGAAGGGCTGCTCATGGAGGTGGACACACAGGTTGGAGCAGAGCATGGTTATTGAATCTACATGCTAGGCTCCTAGATGCAGAAGGCTGTGGACAACACATGGATCTTCTACTAAAAGGTTCTACATTGCCTAACATGCTAGACAGCCACCCGCCGTTCCAGATTGATGGCAATTTTGGTGGGTGTGCTGGCATTCTCGAATGCTTGGTTCAGTCGTCCATCATTGATGCCAATACAGTTGAGATCCGGCTTCTGCCCTCGTGTTCAAAGGACTGGGCTCAGGGGCAGCTCACAGGCGTCAGGACGAAAGGTGGCTGGCTCGTTTCGTTTAGTTGGCAAGATGGTGTGATTGAAGAGCCAGTTGTGGTTGAAACCACGGCAACTACGGTTTCCGAAGTTCAACTTATTTTCCCGGGAGGCTTCCGGTGTCTCGTACAAGCCGACCCTTCTAAGTCTACACAGAAGGTCTTCGCAGCCAAAGAATAGAGAAACTAAAGAAGCACCAAATATTACCATCATCCATGAAGAGTTACACAATAAGATTTGAGTCCTGTGTGATATCTATCACACACGATGACCCCCGCCCATCTACGGGATTGCATCTGGTAACCCGGATCTCTCATGGTGCTTCGCCTCAAATAGAGGCTCCCATACAGTACAAGCCCTTTTAGTCGTCGCACCATTGGCCAGCTCCGGTACAGGCAGGACGACAGTCTTGTCACCCGAACATTCAATTAGTTGGCCATTCAACTTCGAGTCGTCCAGGCATAGATTGTATGCTGATACAACTGTCTCGATTGGGGTGATGCTGTGTTTCTGGTAAGTCTCTACTCCTCGGATTTCAAGGATGCCTTACTGCTCTAGCTTTGTTGCGTTGATAGATGCTTGCGGAACGGCACCTGTTATTACAATACCCGGAAGCACGGCATTCATGGCGATATTCTCTTTCTACGAAATATCAGCTACTAAGATGCTTCAAGCACCCATGGCGAGATAGGAAAGGGGACCAAACCAGTTCCAGAAGCGGCGCTGCTGTTCGAACAAATTGGTTGATCTTTCAAGATGTAGTTAGAAGGGTGGTTGCTAGCAGAGGAGACATTGAACCTACCGCGGCTTTGGCTCCGCAGTACTCAGGGAACGTTTGATGCGGATGAACCGACGCGATGGTTGAAGTCGCAATAATCTGTCCTCCAGGCACTACATTTCTTCGCATGAAATGGATGGCAAGCTGAACACCATACAAGAAGCTCTCGTAGCACGCCTTGATAGACTTCAGGGCAGGCTTTGGCGGTATTTCGTCTTTGCCTCTGTGATCGAAAATGTAAATCGAGCCACGATCGGAGTGCCCTGCATTAGCCAGCAAGGCGTTCAGCCTACCCCATCTATGCCAAACTTGGCTGAAGACTTTCGCCTGGGCGTCATAATCACAAACATCTAGCTGGTAAAACACAGCGTTGTCGCCAAGCTCGCTAGCGACAGCAGTGCCGGCTCCTTTTTGGAGATCGCAACATGCAACGCGCCATCCTTTGGCAATGAGGTCCGTCGCGAGAGCTTTCCCAATGCCGGACTGTAATACTGTCATCGCAAGAATCGTCAGGGTTTGTATCTACGATCATACTCACAGCTGCACCGGTAACGATGGCGACTTTTCCAGTCACAATGTTGTGATCCATGAGAAGGGTCGAATGATGCGTGTGGATCTTCGAAATCCAAGGAAGAAAAGACGAAGAAAAGCCGACTTTCAAAAGACCAGGAGTAAAAGAAGATACAAATTCTCACATTTCGCGGCCTCGCACCGCATCGATACTACGCTATCGAAGGGCAAGCCGACGTGATACGTAATGCGCGGTTATTTCCGACAGCATTTTCCACCAAGTAAATCATAACACTTCAAATTCGGAGCACAACGTAATGGATATAGGCACTTGGATTCATTTGCTTTATCCTACGAAAATCACAGATTCCCACCATTTACTGGCAAACATTGGCCAGTAATGAAGCTAGACCAGTCTGACAACAGAAATATGATTGCTTCCGCAACATCAGTCGCAAACGCCATACGGCCTTTTGGTATGGACGCAATTTGCGCTTTCCCAACGACGACGGTTGGATCGTCCTGCGGAGCGCCAGCAACAGTAGCTTCGGCTAAAGGAGTATCAGTTGCACCTGGAGATTTTCAATAACTCTTATGCAAACTCTCTGTAGGTTGAGCACTAAGCTGCTTACCAGGAGCAACCATATTCACACGCATCTTGGGGAAGTCTCGTGCCCATGCACGCGTTAGGCCGAGAACAGCATGCTTTGAGGCAGTATACGCCGCCAGCCCAGATACCCCACGAAGAGAAGCACCGCTTCCGACGTTGACTATAGAGCCTTGGCCTACGCTGCGAACTGACCCCGGAATGGTGCCTGGCGCTTCGATGTTTTCTTGAGTCATCATTTTTCGCATCGCTTCAGTTGCCATGTTCCAAGTTCCGGTGACGTTGACGTCCATGGTTCGCTGATACATCGCGTCGGTTCCAATTTTGCCCTCCCAGCCCGAAACGCCCGCAGAGTTTACCAGCCCATCGAGTCGGCCAGGTATGGAATCCAAGAATGACTTGCAATCCTCTCGATTTGTCACATCACATCCAAGTGTTACATGGCAGTTTTCTTCGCTGTTTGATTCATCTGAATTTTGCGAAGAGATATCGGCGACATAGACGGTCGCTCCAAGTGCGAGCAGTGTCTTGGCAACCGCCAGCCCAATGCCGGAACAACCTCCCTTCAAGACCATCTTAGCAGGACTACTAGGTGTTAGGATAGGAGACGAACCGTGATAGCGATCTGACGTCCGCCAAAAGAGAAACCGCCTTGCATGGTGTGTTGATGGTGATCTTGGTACCTCTTGCAGTCCTGTGAGATGAACTTTGTTGTCAAGGCATGATATCTACATCATGAGACGATCGGCAAAGGTCATTCCCGTCACCTGCGATTGCAGATCCTATCTTGAATACAGGGTTCGGAGGTATACAATCCGACGGAGGGTTTGGGGAACATCTCGGGCATGAGGATGTCGGACTAAACCGCCCAAGCCCCACCCAGCAACCCCGCTGGTTGTGACGCACTCACGCGCGCAACTCCGACGGCTATCGGCCCCTTGTCCGTGGATTGCCAGTCAGAGTGACTAATATAGAAATTGAGAAACAGCATGTGACAGAATATGCATTCGTCCTATACGTATTTAGCAATCTCTCTTATCTTGTCGACGGGCATCAACGTTTTCTCAAACTTCTCTACACCGTCTGTTCACTGTTTAACATCATGCCTCCTAAAAGAGCTTTAGTTACATACGCTGTGGATGTTGACGCATGCGCGAACTGGTATGCATTTTGCAACTTCAGAGATGACAGTATTCGGCTGACTAGAGATGACTTCATAGGATCAATACCAGGGACGGAACTAAGATCGGCGCAACCGATGTATCCAGGGGTATTTATGGGGCAAATGTCGGTACCGACCGCATGCTCAAGCTGTTTGCCGACAACAACATCAAGGCTTCCTGGTACATGCCCAGTCACACCATCCTGTCATTCCCTGATCAGATGGCGAAAGTCAGAGATGCTGGACATGAAATGTATGGCCTTCTTCGCAAGCTCGCTCTTTGAGTCCCAGCAATAGTCTGACACGCTAGATCCAGTGGCTTGCATGGCTACACGCACGAGTTCGTGCGGTTTCTGACCGAAGAGCAAGAGAGAAAGGTCATGGCCAAGTCCATCGAGGTCTACCAGAAGTTCACCGGCAAGTATCCCAAGGGATGGGTGGCCCCGGCTTGGGAGGTCAGTCCCAAGACCATGTCCATCTTGGAGGACTTTGGCATCGAGTATGACCATTCCATGTTGCATCATGACTGCCAGCCTGTCACGACCCGTTAGGCATAACACGTTGGAACAACCCCGCCCGGGATCTCGGCGGCTAATGCGGAGCATATGGAAGCAGTAACACAGGTGTAACCAGGAACCATCGGGAAAGGAAGAACTATGGTACAGGTCACGTGACTTCGG